GGTGTTTTTGTGTTTTTGGTTTTTTTTTTTTTTTTTTTTTTTTTTTTTTTAAGTGGCACTTTTGGAAGTTTGTCTTTTGCCAATATTATCCGTGACTAGAGGGCATGGAGGCTTTCTGAACTGATCCCACACTCATCAGAAGCTCGTAGCGCTCTCCGGGGATCTCCTTGTATTGTCTCGCTTTCCTCGTACAAGGGATCAAAGGGAGCTGCTGCAGCCCCCTGAAAATCTAGAGGGGAACCAAAGAGGGCGAATGAAGCGCCATATTTGAGCGAGCATTGGACCATTGTAGCGATCGATGAGATTTGCCTTCACCGCGTTTGTTGATCCGTTAGTCTCTTGAAACACGAAGAGGTGTTTTCTTGGCGACCTGCAGAATGGAGGTGATGGCATCTTGTTGGAGAGGACAGGCGAGTAAAACAAAGGCAAATGCATTCTCGCATTTTCATTGCGCTATCACATCCAGGTCTTGTTGCATGTTAAGTGGAAGGCTGATAACTATTTCATGAAGTTGTCCTCTTAGTACTAGATGAATAATCACAAGGATGGTGAGGATGGAGCGAGGTTACGAGCACGCAAGCAGTCTGGTGTGTGAATGCTCAGTTTATTAACCAAACTGCTCTTTGAACCATTCAGGAGGAGCACGCCGCCAAGCTGAAGGCAGAGAAGATCCGAGTAGCCCTGGAGAAAATCAAAGAGGCGCAAGTCAAAAAGGTAGGGGCCTCCCTTCCTTTTGTGTGTCATTTCCTTGCTCCGTCTCATCATCACAAGCTTCTGTGACTCACGTCGATAAGGCTGTCTTCTCACATTCGCTGCATGCTGCATTCCTTTGTGAACTTCATTCACAGCCTCGAAAGTAGGTCAGTGCAGCATTTGATCGTGAGCGTGCATCTGCAAGAGGTTGCAAAGATAGATATAGGGTGTGCAGATGCCATTTTTTTCTTCTGTTTCTTCAATGAGCGAGCTGCTTCCATGCGAGGGAGCAATTTCATTTTTTTGGTGTGCATTGGAGAATTAAAAGGTTTAATTATCAAGTGCTGCACTCTGCGTTTTTCCAAACGTCTCAAGATCTTGGTTGTCCTTTTGACATTGGAGCTTTCAGAGTAGGAATGAGTTAATTCTGGTTTAGTGGCTGGACGAGAAGCTGGGCCAAATGTCTCAGACACCCCACGTCTGCAGCTTTTTTGGCGTTGTCATTCATCCAAATTTCTCGTGAACCCGGACACTGATTGGATGCTAGGATCAGTGAGAGGCGACGGGGAGGTCAAGCGATTGAGGGTTTTACTCAATTTCACACCGGGACGGGCTGTGCAAGGCTGGATTTGGCACATGCATGCGCTAGTCACGTTCAGTTGAATTTAATCTTCCTCGACTTTTGGTGCGATTTAGATGCAAGACCAGATTACTGGAAGTTGGTCTTTAATGGTCACACTGCGACCCGTTAATACCTCTGTATACAGAATTTGCAAGAAACCTCACTTCACCCCGCCGGATCCAGTAGAATAACTAGGTCAGATAAAAATCGATTGAAAAGTTGCGGCAGGAATAAACCATCACTTGTCGACTTTCCGAACTTCCCAGCTGGTGATCAGGGTCCACATGTCGGACGAGAGTTCCAAGACCATGATGGTGGACGAGAGGCAGACGGTCAGGCAGGTGCTGGACAGCCTGCTGGACAAATCGCACTGTGGCTACAGCCCAGACTGGTCCCTGGTGGAAACTATTACAGAGCTGCAAATGGGTAATGGAGACTCTTGAACTGAATCACATATAAATTGTTGAAGAGTGAGAATGAGCCTGGTTTAAGGCTATATTTGACAATGGTACTTCTAGTACAGTAAATTGATTGATTTCTTTCTTTTTTAATGTAACAATGTTACAAATCAAAAAAGTCCTCTGTTGCACTGTTACCAATCTGTACATGTAGTCCCGTCAAAAACGTATCAGGGTGTTTCGTGGTCAATGTCCAGCTCCTCCAATCGGTTGCCATTTGTGCATAACCTTGATCAAAAACTATTGCATCTTCATCTTTTCTTCTCCTTTGGTCAGAACGTATTTTTGAGGATCACGAGAACTTGGTGGAGAATCTGTTGAACTGGACGCGGGACAGTCACAACAAGCTCATGTTCATCGAGCGCATCGAGAAATATGCTCTCTTCAAGAACCCGCAGGTGCCTGGTCACAGCACCTCCACACATCCATGCAAGCAGGGAGGAGATGGGTTGCATGTTGAATAGCCTTGTCAGGCTGTAGACACCAACACGTAGTTTACGCATCCTCCGTGGTGCCTGAATTTCTTGGAGAGCAAATGAGAGCGTGTTTGTGCTGGAGCGTTAGTAGGTCAAAGCTGTAAAGCAAGTCAACGTAAATAATTAATTCAACGTCAGACGCAGTGAGCCACTGACTTAACACTGTCTCCTCCTTCACCCCCTCAACTAATCTCTATCCAGAACTACTTGTTGGGGCGTAAGGAGACTTCAGAAATGGCTGACAGGAATAAGGAGGCCTTATTAGAGGTGGGATGATGAACAACCACATCATGACATGTCCTCCTCCAATGAGGAAAAAGACAAGTCTTTCAACATCAATTTTCAGGAGTGCTTCTGCGGCAGCTCCGTGTCAGTGCCTGAGATTGAAGGTGTGCTGTGGCTAAAGGATGATGGGAAGAAGTCATGGAAGAAGCGCTACTTCCTCCTCAGGGCTTCTGGAATCTACTATGTCCCCAAAGGCAAAGCCAAGGTCAGTGAGTCTTGAGTCCCACCATAATATATATATATTAATGTCAATTCGGTATATAAGAGAAGGGCGCTCTTTGGTATTTTAAGTTTGTAACTTCTTTACAGATTTGTTTCATTCTTGGGACCTGCTAGGTCATTAAGTGACCATCTTAAATTAGAAATGACAAGTCAATTCCTGTACATCACATCGTCTCCTTTTTGTGCAGGCATCCAGAGATCTTGTGTGCTTCCTGCAACTGGACCACGTTAATGTCTATTATGGGCAAGACTATCGCAGCAAATATAAAGCTCCTACTGACTACTGCCTGGCTTTGAAGGTAAAGCCAGTAATTGGACCTCTTACTATGCTGGGCACACGTTATGTCTCTTGCTCATTCTTCAGTAGAGGAATTGCACTGACAAGTGTTGTTGTCATCCAGCATCCACAGATCCAGAAGAAGTCACAATATATTAAGTATTTGTGCTGTGATGATGTCAGGACCTTGCACCAGTGGGTGAATGGAATTAGAATTGCAAAGGTGAGCAAGCCCTTAACAATCAGATTTCTGTCAGATACAAATCATGTTTGTGTCAAAATGGAAATGTAAAACCCTTCCCGGGATTGTGCTCTGCATCCAGTATGGGAAGCAGCTCTATATGAACTACCAGGAGGCCATGAAAAGAACAGAGGCAGCCTATGATTGGTCCTCTCTATCTACCTCTAGCATTCGTTCCGGCTCCAGTTCTACAAGCATACCCGGTTGGTCATTTTTAGTATGAAGAAATTAGGTGCTATCCACTTTGAGTTCTAAATTCATTTTCCATTCTTATTTGTGCCTCTAGAATCACAATCTAATCATTCAGGCCAATCAGACAGCGGCGTGGACACAGGGTCTCATGGTCGCTCCCAGAGTGTTGTGAGCTCCATTTTCTCAGAGGCATGGAAGAGAGGCACTCAATTAGAGGAGAACACCAAGGTATGACGACTCAAAAGCTGCGTGTGCACTGCATCCCTGATGAATTAGTACATTACAAGTATATCAGTAAAGACAATTTATTTGCCTGTCTCTTTAAGACAGAAGTCAAAGCGGTCTCTGAAGGCCTTAATTTTTTCCAGAGTAACACGAACATGTGTATTTGATACATAATACCTAACATCTGTGTGCGAACATGTGTATTTGATACATAATACCTAACATCTTGTATTTTATAGTCCCTCAATTAGCTGGTGTCCATGTTCAAAAAGTGAATAATTATTCTTGTGTCCAGACGCGTATTTTTGTCCACGTAAAGGGAAGCTCACTTACCTTGCGAACAGCCTTGTTAACACTCAAGTTTTCATCGGATTGTGTCGTGTATGCGTGCAGTGTGGACTCACCGTCACACCTCGATGCTCATATATTTTGTGTGTGTATTTTCATATCCGCGTTATTTTTGAGAAATTATGGGAGATGGATTGTGAGCTGAGTGTGTCAATGACAATACCCACACTGTCACGTTTCGGACGAACCGAATAATGTTTTGAATCCCAAAAATTGTAGACTCCAGACAAGGACTCCGTAACAAAAATGTTTAATATATGAAAATCGCACAGACAAAGTAGTAACATAAAGCACTGGTCAAAACAAGGACCAGGGAACACAAAACTAGACGATAACCAAAAGCGCTTGCACAAAAAGCAAGGAAGGAAAACAAACCCAAGTCTACAAACGAAATGCAATGTATCCAATTCACGCAAACAAAAGCCAATCCACTAAAACAAAAACCATACTCACAAAACCAATGGTACCGAGAGATCAAGAGCGAAAACACGACGAGGTCTACAGAAAACGTCAATGAGCAAGGAGAGCAGCAAGGCTGCAACAATATTCCGACAACAAGCAGACAGCTTGTGGGTCCTTAAATACAGAGTTCCCATATGCAAGATTGGCAGCAGGTGTGCAACCAGCCAGTCCGCTCAGTCTGCCACCTGCTGGCCAGGCCACAAACAGGAACATGACACAGGGCTGCGAATTGAACACTGATCGCACCTGACGCTCTTGCAGCTCTGACACAGGCCAGCAGCTTATCTGGCAATTGTGCTCAGGGGGTAAAATCTTTAAAACTACTTGCATGTCTTGTTTGCTCCTGACCCTGACACACATTCTGCTTCAAGCAGATGCGAATGGAGGCTTCCAGAGGAGCCACTTTGCCACATGCTTCCCACAGTCACCGTCATCACAGCCAGCATTCAGTTGACCAGCAAGCCCTGACAACCTCCCCTCAGGCTCATCTGCAGCAACAGCCTCAACCGCAAGCAGTTGAGCAGCACCTGCCCCCTAAGCCTCAGTCGCCTCAACAGGTCCCGCAGCCCCAGCCGCAGTCACCTCAGCGCTTGCAGCAGCCTCCACAAGTGCTGCAACAAAAGGAGCCGCACACCATGAGCAGCTACAGCCACGTGCCCCCTCAACAGCCACCACACCCTGTGAACAACTACAGCCAAATGCCTCCACCACCATCACTTCAACAGCACCAGACGCATGCAAACTACAATCAGCATTCGCCGAAAGTAAGCAACTACAATGTTGTGCCGTCCCAACAGCCGCCAAACAGTGACAGTAACTACAGCCACGTGTCCCCGCCTCAGCAACAGCCAGCTCCTCCACCGCCTCCACCTCCGCCTCCGCCTCCTCCACCACCACCGCCACCCCCAGTCCAAACCATGTCGCACTACTCTCCAGCTCTCAACATGTACAAATTCAGTACAATAACCAGACTGCAGAACAAGAACCAGTCTGGCAGTCACCACAGAATGCATCCCCAACAACCTCCCCCATCCCAGACACCGCCCACCGCAAAGTTGCACAGCAAACCAAATGTGAATCACATTGCAGCAAGGACTAATGTGCCGCCTCCGCCTCCTCCTCCTCCGCCGCCATCTATGCCAACCCCTGGTTCTGCCATGGCGGCACTGAAGTTCGGCCCTCCGAGTCCTAACGCACCCGCCGGCTTCATCCCCCCGCCTGTGGCTCCCCAGACCAATGGAGTAGTATTTCCTCCCCCTCCCCCGTCGGCAGCGATTCTCATCAGCCAGTCAACGAATCCAATTGGGATGAAGCGTGAACTGAAAGAGAGGTTTCCCAGCCCGCCACGAGATCTCCTGCCTGGAAATGGAGAAGTAGATGACTCCCCGCCTCCTGCTCCAACTCCATCGCCGCCACCTCCACCCCCCCCCCCCCCCCCCCCCCCCCCCCCAAAAACACAACACCATTCAAATTTTCCAACACCCCTT